GATTAATCAGGCGTGGCTATAAACAGTTCTTTTTTTCAGCTGCTTCTTCAAGATCACAAGATTGCAAGATCCAGGGTGGCCGTCTGCATGCCAACTGTGAAATCCGGTGAGCTGGTGCAATGTTGTGAGGTCCGGGGGAAATAGTTAACTCCGTATAAAATATGGTGCCTTCCGCGGCACTCCTCCCTCCCTAGCCATTCATGAGCACATTCACACTGCTATACAGCAACGAGAGCAAAGGGGGAGGGATCCACCCTGCTGACCCGTACAATGGAGCCAGGACCCCCCGGCGCAGCCCAATCGCCTACAAGTTTTGTCGTGGTTGCTACCCTCGTTTCATTGAAGAGTTGCCGAGAACTGACTTGATGGATCAGGCCGACATTTGAAATGTGGTGAGTCGCGCAGATAAAACAGCACGGGGAAAGGCTCAAACGGTCGGTTAACAGATAATGTCAAGCCTCAGTGCCATCAGTGTAACTTTCGCGGGTATCCATGCACCTATTCGGAGACGTGCGGATTTGTTTCTTTGAAATGGCAACTCACACGAATTTAGCAGTGCTGAAGCGAGGAAGAAAAGGATGCTCTGAAGCGGACGCCGCGTGTATTTTGCCGCTAGGAGGGATTTGTTTATTGTATGCGCTAGCTAGCCAGGAATTTGATTGACACAGGACGGGTAATTTTCCGTTAGTTTGGGACGCGGATGGTAAGTGAAACGAAACAAGTGTATTTCTGATGGTTTGGAGAAACAGCATACAGTACGTATTTTAAAAAAAATCACGCGCCCCCTTACGGTTTGGCACTGACACCTAGTGGGTAGGCGACGGTTAAACGAGGGAGAAGAAAAAAGGGGAATTCCTAACTTATCAATTCGTGTTAGACGACCTGGACGCCTCCCCATGTGAGTGCTTGATTGAAAGCATCGAGGGCGAGGCACTGGGTGGTGTACGCCTTGCGCACGGCATGTGCGACTCTGCTGATGGCCACAGCCGAAAGCGCACTGGAAGTTGCGGAGCAGAGATCAGACGGGGAAAAAATGAAGGGTGCGAAGCGACTTACAATTGGTCCACCACTCCCACGAACCGACCCCGGGTAATGGCATACCACTCAGGGGCTGCATCTGCTTCTTCAATGGGTCCGAGGGGCTCTGCCGGGATCACGCTATACACCTCGTTGGCGAGGTAAGGGCCCTCAGTACGAAGAAGTGCGACTAGTGGGGCTGGAAGGCCGGCACCAGCAGGGGCGCGTGTGGGGATGGTGGTCTCCGCGGAGGTTGCAGTAGGAGTAGGGGTCACGGCAGGAGCCGGGTCGGTCGCGATGGGAGCCGGGGTGCTTGCGGCAGGAGCTGTGGCGGTTGCGGCAGGCGCAAGGCAATGGCAGCCTGTGGTTTGGAAGACAGGAGCGGCCAAGAGTGGGAAACCGAGGACGACAAGGCCAACTAGGAAGAAAGAGGTGGGAGAAGAGGTGTGAGGAATGGAACATTGGCATTAGATACGGACTTACTGGGGAGCACCGTGCCAACGGGCATTTGGGGAGGCTGGGTGCGAGGGTTGTTGGTCATGATAGAAAAGAAACAGAAGGATACTAAGCGAAGGATAAAGAGACGCCTTTTAAAGGAGCAAATGTGGGATAATGATGGAAAATACGAGCGTGACACAGACCTTTGTTTGATTCCCACCCTGGTCGTTTCACCTGTAGCCAGAAGCAAGATATTCTCGTGACTGGTCCTGGTCGTTGAAGAATCTATCCAACGAAAATCCGGGTGAGCGGCAATCCCGTGGCCTTCCAACAAAAGGGAAAAACTGACCAGCTCGACTGTGAGACAGACATCTTCTTCTGCTATGAAGAAACCTCGTCAAGACCAACGCGTGTGGAAACGGATAGCCAAAAAAGACCGGCGGAACTTGAAACTCTGGGCGGAAGGCGCCAGGGAGTCCATCTTGAAACCCCATATCCCAGGCTATGCAGATGCACTGGAACGTGGTTGGCGCGCTGAGCGCGACTACATACGACAGGTCTGCAATGAATTCCACGCGAAGATTCCATGGCGTCTACAGGACCACGAAGAGCCGGACTTGCCGTTGCCTGAGTACGACGAGTTTGCCAGCCCGAGCATAGAGGAGCTAGACGAGGAGACGAGTGCGAAGCGGGCGCGGATTTTGACCATGGACGCTGTAAGTTGAGAAGTTGTGATGGATGCCGTGTGACGCTGATCAAACTCTCTTTCCCATATCCTCAGCGAATTGGACGCTGGCTGAAGTACCGAGCCCGACGCCTGAAGAGGCCCCTCAAGATGGACCGTACACGAGACCCATGGGCCATGCTCCTATTGAAGCTGGTCGGGATTAATAGCCCTCCAAAGGCTCGACAAGCCTTTCAGCAATACATGCATGAAAGCTACGAGACTGAAATTTTCCCTGCCGTGAAGGCCCGCTGGGATGCTTCTTGCTTTGAGGCGGACGGCACCACTCTCAAGTCGAAGACTGCACCAAACACCCCTTTCTGTGCGAAGGTAGCGCAGGAATTGTTTGCTGAATTATCAACAGACGTGCAGGCAGGCTTACGCGCTCGTGCCAAGGCGGATGCAAAGGCCGCAAAAGAGGCCTACGCAGCGGCGATGAAAAAGAGACCGTCTAAAGCGCCAGAGGACAGACAGAAGTAAGTTTTCCTTCCATTTGTCGTTTACTCCGCCTTAACCGTAGGTATTGTGTCCAGCTGCATCAATAATCTTGGAACCTTTATGTCGGCTATCCTACAGGGCGTGTACGAGCATACAGGCCTCCACTCTGTTGTGGTATTCGGTGGTCCGATGCCTCAATTTGGCGGCGAATTGAGGACACTCCAGTGCGTGTCATATATTTTTAATTCAACGGCGTACTGATGCTTCAAATTTAGTGTTGCATACAGTCACAATCGCGACCCGTCCCCTACCCACTTCCCTAATTGGTCGAAGCCTCGCTTAAATAAGGACGTTCTTGATTTTATGAAGGAATATCTGTTGACGGCCTTCAGTAAGTCAAAATCAATTCCAGGGTAACACAGGATCTAACGTAACGTGGCCGTGTAGCTCCCGAGGAGTGCGCTGAAGTGGCTCTACCCGAGAAGTGCGACGACGACAGTGCCCCGATGCCCACAGACTTGGGCTTTGGGAACAACGAAGAAAACTCCGGAAACAGCTCCAATTCATCATCCGATTCCGACTCAGACAGCGATTCAAATACGGGTTCTGACAGTGAGATTGAGCGCGATCTAGAAGGAGATGGCGCGACAGCAAAGAAAGCAAAGGTGGTGGTGGCAAAGAAGGGGAAGGAAAGGGAGAAAGGCGGGAGCGCGGAGTGGGCCGGTGCCTCGAAGAAGAGGAAGAACGAGAGCAGCGAGGAGGGTTCGAGCAAACGAGCCCGGGGAGGGGGGAGCGGGGGTACACCATTAACCGTCCCCATCCCCATCCCCACTGGTTCCGCTGAAGAGTCGTGGATTGACCAGCTCAACCGGGAGCGCGAATTCAATAAGGCGCGCAACCAAGAGATATTACAGAGGCTGGACGAGGAGATGCGGGAAAGGGACCCTGAATTGTGGAAGGACGTCGAACGCGGGAAGGTCACGAACAGGGGAAGGAAGCTCAGACAAGGGGGAAAACTGTCGCGAAGAAGGGTGCCAAAAAATCGGCCGTACCCAGGCCAGTGCGGCGTTCTAGTTGTACGGCTGGAGGAGCTTCACACGGGGAGAGGTCCAATCCAGGTAAGCAGCTTTGGATTGATTTGTGTGAAGTGTATTTGCTGAGACGACAAGCAGAGGCAGATGTACATATGGCGGACAGCAACAGGGCCAACCTCGTGGACCCGTCTGTGCCCGGCCCACCTGACTCGACAGCGGCCACGTCCCCGCTCAATCCCAGCCCGCCACCTCTGCCACCGACGCTGTCTAACACAGCGACACCCTCGCTCGATCCCTCTGTGCGCACCCAACCTGACTGGACAGCGACCACGTCCCCGCTTAATCCCAGCCCACCGCCTCCGCCACCGACACTGCCTAATGCAGCGACGCCCTCGTTGAATCCCACCCCGCCGCCTCCTCCACTCGCGCCCTCGGCAGTGGAGCAGGTGCTGATCCCAGGAGCAGCAGGGAGAGAATACCTGCGTGGAAGACAGCAAACTCAGCCGGACAGCTCTCTGACGGATTCGCTACGCCCTGCGTCACCTCCACCCGGATCTGATACAAGTGGAGGTGCCGTCTTGCTTGGCCATAACGGCCAGCAAGATGTGGCATTCGAGTCGGACGACGATGTGCCAGCCTGCGCCGCAGATGCACCGTTCTGGTTTAGCAAGGTGTATCCAGAGGTGTCGCAGCACAATCTGGGCAGCGGATTCAACGCACTGCTGAGGGTATTCATAGACGTCGAGCGATCATATGGATGGGTTAAAGGAGGGAAGGGTCTCGCGACTCTCAACCGCCCACCACAATTGTCGGCCTGGATCACTGCAGGATGCGGAAGCCGGGGGGGGGGGGGGTGATGGCCAATGGGGTAGGGCCAGCGATCCCATCCGTGGTCGTCTTTGACATGCGATGGTGGCAGTGGTGGGGAAGTTTGCAACCACCGTGGCGGTTGTCCGACAGCAGGAGACCGCGTGAGCAATATCTCCGAGATATGTATCCAGCGTCGCCGGGGGCACAAGGATGGCAATCATTGCGACACCCAGGACCGAATGGCGCCCTCAGCTTGATCGCAACGCTGTACTGGTGGGGTGTGAAGCTGGGGAAAGAGGGCGGGCAAGAGGAACGGGAATCGTGGGTGGAGGCTGTGACGGACGTTAAGTGGATGCTGCACGGTTTGCTGGCAGCCGAGAAGTGGGGCTTGTAGCGCACCACTTTGCCGTTGGACTACCCTATTCCCCTTACTTTCTCGTTATCGGTACTGATGCATTTTTTTACGACTTCTTTAATACATTGAATTTTGGTTTGAGTGTTTGGGATAGGAGATAATAGTCTACACAATGGTGCGACAAGCTCCAGTAGTGTAATGGTAACATTGCTTCCTGTTGTTACATTGAACGAAGTTAGTAATCAGAAGCTGATCCCCGTTTGACTCGGGGCTGGAGCGTACTTTTTAGAACATTTGAATTTCACACAGATTGCATGGAATACAAGAAATTTATTAAGGGCCAATGGTATGGTACAATAACCAACTTCCTCTGTAAGAAGACCTGGTGTATCAGTAATACACCTCGGTTAAAATATTCAGTTCGCTGAGGGCCCCCGGTTCGACTCCGGGCCAGGTCGTTTATTTTGGAAATAATTTCATTGATTTATCTTCCGTGATTAAGTAGCGCCTGGTACCATGAATATATTCTATCTTTTAAAGTCATCAAATATGCTATGTACATAAATTTATATGTGGTTAGACATTGATGGAAAAGTGCAGGGGGGGCGGGCGGGCAGAGGGCGGGGAATTGATGTGATATTTGATGGCGGCGGTGGCGGGGACGGAAGCCATCAAATTGCGATGAAGGTTATATTTGGTGCAGAGGCCGATTAGATTTCTATATAATTGATGGTGCATCAATTATAAGGAATCTAATCGCAACGGGACAGTAACCGAGGTAAATGATAGTAACTCCTAAAAAAGGGAAATCAAAGGCATCCAAAAGGGCAGCCGAGCACCGGGAAAGCCGGGCAGAGACAGGGCAAAATAGGCCTCTGGCCAGGGCCCTGGCTACAGCCGGGCTGGAAGGCAAAATGTTCAACTGGCTACATCCAGGCTATTTTGCCTTTATATTACAACTACGGCTCAGCCTTCCCAGAATCCCATCGAAGGTATGAGGGTCCCGTTTGCCATCCACAGCGTCTTTCCTGAGTGCTTCAGCTCCCCAATGTGGTGCCGCTCCCTCTCGTATAGCGCCGTGCACATTGCGCTCACCATCGTGCCATCGTCCTCCAGCGCCCGTACTCGCACCAACTCGCCCCTCAGTCCTTTCAACTCAATCCTGCATATGAACGGCACGCTTGCACGTTTCAGCCTTCACTCAATGCCCACTGCGTACAAGTCAACGATGTGGGATTCTGAAGGTGCACACATGGGGGTCAACATATTACTACGGACTTGGGGGTCAGGCGACGAGTCCTCGGGCGATGGCTCATCACACCCGAGGACCCGCTCTGCCTTCCCTCGCTCTTCAGGGGCTGTCCGAGCCTTTCTTTGGACAGCCCCTAAACTTTTCCCTGGTCGTCTACTTCCTTGAAACGGGCTGTGTCATCCCCAAACGGCCGCCCATATTCGTCCACATCCCACGGCGAATATCCCACTGTCTGCACTGCCGCTGGCGCCTCCTTCAAAGCTTGCGCCGCAATCCTCCGCCACTGCTGCTCTCAAGCGCTGACACACTGCTCCATCGTTGCCTCGCACCGGCGCTGGTAGTTTGTATGGCCCATTATCCCGCATTGGAAGCATTTGCCTGAGTTCACGGGGGCATGTCCTGGGCGCAGCGGATAGGGTGTGCTCACGGTCACATCAACGTTCCCGTGTGTGCGGTACCACTCCTGCTGCTGGTCTGCATGCGCGCGTCTGCCGGCCTCTGTGTCGGGATGGTGCACGATGCGCGCTATCACATCGATCAGAATGCGGCGCTGCGCCTCGTCCAGGGGCTGCTGCTGCATTGCGGGCTGGTACGGGGCGCGCGGTGCTTGGGGCTGATACGGGGCACGTGTCGCTTGCTGCTGTTGCGGCGCTCGTGGAGCCATGAAGAGGTTGCCTTGGCCTCTCCCTCCCGTGCTCTGGAACGGATTCGCTCCGGTTGCAGGTGTGAGCCAGCGCGTGGGCGCTTGCATGGGCGGGCCGAGTCTCGTGTTGGTGAGTTGGGCACATATGCCCGCCGTGGGTGACGCTTGCAGCGCTTGGCACATTTTCGAGAACTCCTCCCGCCTCTCCCTCTCCTCCTTCATGTCGAGCTCCAGCTCCACTGTGTCAACGTCCCGCACCACCTTGATGAACATGGGCCAATTCGCGTGCGTTTTCCCTATCTTCGTGCGCAGAGGACCCAGGAGCTCGACCCGTACTTGCTCGATATACATTGTCATTGAGGAAACACCAGCCTTCAGTGCGAGGTGTTGCATCTTTGTGCCCCACGCATGGTGCGCCCAGACCTTGCGGTCGGCCACCTTAACCTTCGTGCCCAGCTCCTCCTTCGTCAGCTTGCACCGGAGCAGCTCGGTCCCAAATTCCGCGGCGGTCGGCTGCACTTTGGGCTCAGCCGGGTATTGGGCCTCGATTGCGATGTTGATGAGGTCCATGTCAAGCTTTGTTGCTGCGGGGAGCGCCTGGAACCAGACGTCGGCATCGCTGTTTGCGGTAAGGTAATTTTTGAAGGCTTTTGCCTTGTCTGTGCTGCTCGTGGAAACTTTCACGTCGTGGTGGAAGGCCCGCAAAAAGTCTTGCGCAGACATCTTGTCCGTATCGCCGTCCCAGGCATCCATGGGCATGGTATCAGAGTCGTGTTCGGGGGTTATGGGGATAGTGGTGGGTGCTGAATCTGCGCGCTGGATAGGGCTCGGTGGTTTTTCAAAGGTCAGCAAGTCGTCTTCGCCGCTGGAGCTGCTCAGTGTTAACGTCGAAGGTGTACTCGGTGTAGATTCGGACGGTGGATTCGGTGATGGTGTTCTGTGCGTGGTGGAATTTACTGGCTCGCTCAATGGATTCCCGTGTATTGCAGGACTTGAAAACCTCCTGTTCGCGTCTCGTAGTCTCGTTCTCGGTGCCAGCGTACTCGTCAGATGGTTCGAATCACACTCTCTATCACCAGATGGGGTAGCCCGCCCGGATGCTCTGTCGGGAGCCGCAAGAGAATCAGGCGCGATGAGCTGAAAAGAGATGGAATCGTCTGTATCTACTGCCGAAACCGGCCCAATAGGCCTAATGTCTGTGCCTAACAATGCCAAACATGCTACCGCAAAGTCCTCTGGGTTATGACCTCATTGGGCGCGGGATTAGGACATCTTCCGCAACGTGATCTTGTGTTTGCCTGTGCCTCCCTGCTTCTTTTTCGACTTCTTCTGATCCCCCATAATGGACAGATGTTTGGGTGAGGGTTCAATGAGATGATGACACTATGGATGAAGGATTGTGGCCGAGTTTTTGCGTCTAAATCTGGTTTGTGGCACTGCCTCAAAATGTGAGACATTGTGCATGACTTCCCGAGATATTATGTGGGGGCTCCCTCCAGAATACGATGAAGAATATACATTCAAAAAATGGTAGCTCTACACATAGTGGTTGAGGTGCTATATGACCTACCGATCCGGACAAAAGTCCCCAAATATATGTATGATGCAGTGATCATTGATGCTCACCGATGCTCCGTGGTGAGCACCAGTGAGCATCGATGATCACTGATGACCATTGATGCAATCATCAGCATTATTTTTTGGTCCCATCATCATGGGTCATACTTGATTTCCTGCAGAAAATCACTGCATATGGAAATCACCACATATGGAAATGTGCCGGAAACAACAACAAAGGATTGACAAAGGACACTGCTCTCCTGCTGTGGGCAGCACGGGATCAAAATCCCTTGATGTTCCATCAAAATCACCTAAACACGAAATGTGCATTTTTTCAACTTGAGCAGTGATTTTTTTCAGACCATTCTGTGTAGCCCAAACACCTAATAATCCCAACTAACCACATTAATTAGAATGGGTATATACGGGGGTATTCCTATTCTAATTAGAGGCGTTCATGTGAAAGGCCCCATGCTGCAAAATATGCTGCAGTTTATGCTGCAGATATGCTGCAGGGGACTTGTTAAAAAAAAATATGGCCGTGGTGGCGGCATTGTTGATGGCGCGCCCGACTCCGGGGCGCCGTCGTTGATGGCGCACCCGACGGCGGGCGGGAGGGCGGGGCGAAAAAAAAAAAAAAAAAAAAAAATGCAGATCGAAGGGGGCATTGATGCCATCATCGGCGCCAACGGTGCGCGGGCGCGCCCACCCAAAACGGGAAAAGACACGCAAATTCCTGCAGAGACCGGTTTCGGAATGATCTAGAATGAGGGCGCCGCATCATTGATGGCGCACCCGACATGTCGGCGGCATCGTTGATGGCGCATCAGACGGTGGGCGGGGGGCGGGGCCGCCATAAAATATAGAATAAACTGAAATCTAAGTTGTAGGCGGCTTTGATGGTGTCATCGGCCTTGGGTGCGCGGGCGCGCTTGTACAAAAAGGGAAAAGTCTTTCAAAACTACCGATAAAATACAAGTAAAATATCAATAAAATACAGACACAAAAAAGAAGGGAAACGAGGGCACCTAGCCCTCGTCGTCACTCCTGCCCGCCCCTACACCATCAACTGCGAGCATGGAGAGAGTGTACAGCTGGGCTGACAACGCCTCCTCCAGCTCCTCGTCGCCCTCTTCGTCCACCCACGCTTCTTCGGCCTCTCTCCCTACAGCCCCGGTCGATGTGCTCGCCACCTCCACCTCCTCCACCTCCTCCTCCTCCTCGCTGTCAACCTGCATCTGCTCCTGCGTCGCCGCCCTGCGTGTCTCCCGCGCCTCCCTCCGTGCTTCCAGCACCTCCAGCGACGTTCCAGGCACCAAGGACCCGGTGAACCCCGGGTCTTTTGCCAACGCCCGGAACCGGCGCATGTGGGCGGCATCGAAACGGCCACGCCGCTCCCGGTACTTCCGGACTTGGACTGCCAGCCCACGATCTGCCTCGAGCTCCTCCTCCGACTTGTTCCCTGCAGCCCACAGCTCCACCTCCTTCTTCCGTAGAACTCGATACTCATCGCGGATCCAAGTCACCACCCTGGGGATCTCGACGTTGAGGCGCTTTATTTCCTCCCTTGCGCGAACGATCTTGAAATAGCGGTCCATTGCCATGCGGTAGGCAGGGCGTGTCCACGGCCGGGACTGGACCTCCGCATGCATGTCCCGCAGGATGTCGAAGTCCGCGAGGAACGCGTACTCGACGACCTGCTCCCAGGTCAGGTGGGGCATGGGGGGATCCAGCAACATGGCGGCAGCGTTGTAACGGTCAATGGCACTCTTCACTGCCTTCGACCTTGCTTGAAGCGCCTTCGCGATGTGCTTGCGCATCTTG